GGCGACCGAAGGGAAAGAGGGAGCCTGGGAACACGGAGTAAAAGACACTTTAATTAGGAGTACACCGAGCACTAGCCAGGTCATTCACACAGCTTCACTGTCCAGTCGTACAAAAAGCACTCACCGAGGCCTCAGTTAGGATGGCTCCTGACGCTGACCAGGTGAATACCTCCATTTGCCCCGGGGGGTCAAGAAGAACATCCCTGGGAAGAAGTCACCCTGAACAACAAAAAGGCAAAATTAGTGAAGCACGGGGTCCTCTTCTGACTAGATTGCCACCAGCATTCCATAGCAAATGCCACGACTGTTCTGTTACAGACGAGAAAACCCTGTTCTCCCAAACAAACAGCCAGGAGATTTATGGGCACGCCTGAAAATCTCCTGTGAGGAACTTTTTGTAACTAAGGAGCAGGTGCTATCTTGAGTTGAAGGCATCAATTTGACAGACACTTAGTACAGCAAACTCTTCAGCAGAGCAATTAATTGCTGCCTATTTGAACAGTAGGTGAGAGAAAATGACAGTCTAATAGAAGACAAGAAAAGCAGAACTGCAATCAGCAGCCTTTTCTTCCATCTCTCCCGAGAAAGTCTAGTTTGTCTGTTCTAATAATTCTATGCCCTTTTCTACATGAAACTTAGACCAAGGCTGAAAAAACAACTAGAAAACACGGAGAGAAGCTTTTTAGAATTTCACGTGATTTTCCCAAACCGATCCCAGAAAAGCAGAACTCGGTAGAATGTGCTCACCTCGAGGCCTTTGGTCTTTTTTTCCATAAGCTTCGTCACCTGATTGAAAAAGCAGAGTAGACTCGGTATTTAGGCTCACAACAGGAAAACCTCCCCTTCGTTTCCTAAAAGAAACTACATTAATCTGCACAGCTGCAGGCGCGTCTCCAGCTGTTAAAGCCTTTCAGCTTTTCAGAGGGTGAGAATGCCCTGCTAAGGAAGGCTGAAAAATGCTGGGAGCCTGCCCAGGTCAAAGAGCCCCTTGATTTTGTCTGTGTTCCAGTCCCTGGCTAAAGAAAGGGCAGAACCACCGCAGGTGTTCCTTGCCTTTTCCCTACGAGGTTTTGCCAGGCGCTGGGCCAGCCCGGGCACTGCGGGGGAAGGCCGGCAGTGCCCAAAGCCCGCCGCTTTCCCAGGGCAAGCGTCGCTTGCCAGAGCGCCCCCGAGCGCCGGGCCCTGCCTCACAGTCGCCGCCTGGCGGACACGGCCGGGAGCGGCACTGCAGCCGCGCGCCCCCCCCCCCCCCTCCTTGGCGAGACCCGCGGCGCCTTTCGCGCGTCCGGGCCTTTCTTCCCTAAAACCTGCCCTTGCCTAGGAAAAGCTGAGCAGTTCACAGAGTTGCTGTTTCCAGCCCAGCTTCCCAAAGGATTTCTCTCTCCCGGCAGCACAGACAGGGTCCCCGAGGCAGCGCAGACCCTCCCCGCGGGGGGGTGTGGTGCGTGTGCAATGCCAGGGCACATCCGAACCCGGCCCTGCGGCGGCACGCAGGTGCGAGTTTCTCCGCAGAGGCGAGAAACTTGCCTGTCGCTTCCCCGGCCTGCAGTCCCCGATGGCCGCGGGAGAGGCAGAAGAGCGGCCGCGCCCACCCGCCGCGCCCAGCTTACCCCCGGGGACGATCTCCGTCGGATCTGCCGCCGTGGGTCGCTTCCGGGGGGGGGGAAGGCGGCGGCGCAGCCCCGATAGCATCTCCAGGGCACGGCGGGAGCGGGAGCGGAGCGGGAGCGGGAGCGGGAGCGGAGCGGGAGCGGGAGCGGAGCGGGAGCGGGAGCGGAGCGGGGCGAGCGGGCGGCGCGGCGCCCCCTGCGGCCCTCGCGCGGCCCCCCCCACCCGCCGCCTGGGGTCCTCGCGCGCCGCGGCTCCGAGACGGGGGCTGCCCGCGCCGGTGCCTGCCGCCGCCCACGAACCTGCCGCCCGCGCCCGGCGCCGCCGAGCCCCCCGCCCCGTCCCCACAGCGGGAAGCGGCGCGGCGAGACGGCGCTGCGGGCGCGGGGCGGGGGTCCGGGTCGCGGCGGAGGTCAGGCAACAGGATAGACGCCTCTCTGAGGCGAGGGAGCCTCTCGCCGCCATCTTTAGTGTGGCCTCGGCTAAGTTCCGGTCGTGGCGGCTCCATCTTGAGTGTGGCGTCGGGGCGAACTTCCGGGCCGGGGCCGCCATCTTTAGTGTGGTCGTTCCGGTCCTGGCGGCGCCATCTTTACTGTGGGCTTGGCGGACTTTCGGGCCGGGACCGCCATCTTTAGTGTGGTCGTTCCGGTCCTGGCGGCGCCATCTTTACTGTGGGCTTGGCGGACTTCCGGGCCGGGGCTTTGGAGGACTTCCTGTCGCTCTCTACTTCCGGTGACCGAGTTTACCCAAATTACCGGCCCTCCTCGCTAATTTCTGCGCTTTCACCCCAAAAAATCTTCGTGTTATTCCCCCCCACACACACCCCGGGAGAGACGGCAGACCGCGAGTCCCGCCCTGCCGCCGGAACCGGCCCTTAACTCGAGCAGGGAGCGCTACAGCGGCACGAGAGCCACTGCGCATGCGTCGCCGTTCCCGCTCCTTGCTGCCCTTAGTTTTCACGTGATCGCCAGCGTCTTGCCAGCGACTGCGCATGCGCCGGCGTCGCCACCTTGGCTTCCCCCCCACCCCGCCGCCCGACCGCCCGGCTTCGCTTTCTTATTGCGCGCGCCTCACCCGCTTTTCTGGGGCCCGTCCCTGACGTTTCTCGGCTCCCCCTCCGCTTTTTTCGGCTCCCTGGGGCTCCCCCACCCACGTTTTGGGGTCCCCTTCTCACAGTTTAGGGGTGACCTCCAGTTTACAGTTCGGAATGCGGGGCCGGGGGGGCGGGCAGTAAACGGGGCGCCCAATAAGGGTTTTTTTTCTCTTTTATTTAGTTTTATTTCCTTTTTAGTTTTCTTGCTTTTATTGTTTTTTTATTGTTCTTTTCCATTTTATATTTTCTTCTTTATTTCGTTTATTTTTTATTCTCTTTATTTTTCATTTTCTTTTACCTTTGCTTTGTATTTTTTTAGTTTTTATTCTTCCAGAGAGGGGAACGCTGCAGCTCCTCTGGGCCAGAGAAAGGCTCCCCTGCTCCTCCCTTAAACACAACGCCTGCAATGAGTGCCCTGGAAGCCCGCTCCGCTCGTGCCAGGCACTGGGGCTCACCCAGAGGGGCTTTGCCAGCACCCAATGGAAATTAAAATTACAGCCTGGGCAAAGGCGCTTCCCGCAGGACCGCTCCTGGCCAAGGCCACGGGTCTGTGCAAGTCAGACCACTGACCGCCCGGGGGGATTTTCAGGGGGATACTTCCAGCTTTTATTCTCCAGAAACTCCAGTTCTTTCTGGCCCCGCTTGTTTCAGTCTTCCCCTGTTGGAAGAGGTTACTTAGTCTTTCTGGGGGCCAGATTGCCAAAGCCCAGGCAATACATTCCCTCCACACCCTCCCGCGCTCAGGGGCCGAGGGGCAGCCCTGCCCCGCACAGGCCCCGGGCTCGCCTTCAGGCCATCTGTCCCAAGGCTGGAGCGCTCCTGCCATCAGCCCGTGGCCACGAGTGGCACAGAAAGCCCAGGGCCAACAGCAACTCCAGGCAGCTGCAGGCAGAGGTTATCCCTTCCCAGCTTTTTGGAACCAGCCCAGCCAGCCCCTGCTGTGCAGCACAGCAGGCGGGGGATGACTTTTGGGACCCCTCCCTGGCCGCTGCAGAGCAATGCAGGCATCGGGGCCAAGTCCTGCCCGGCCCTCGGGCACTGCAGACAGTTCAGCCCCAGCAGCAGCAGCTGCTTTTCTGCCTCTTGCTCCCCTCTCATTTGGAACCGAACGGTGAGGAACAAGCCCCGAGCACAATCGGCACCGAGCAGCAAGGCCTGGGCTCACCAGAGGCCCGGGCCTGCCTACTCCAGGCTCTGGGCTTCCTTTGCTTTCTTCCGCCGCAATTCTCCTGCCCCGGCAAGCGTTAAAAGACAGACTGCCTGGTGAGACGTGCCCCAAAACAGCCATCGGTTCCAAGGCCAGAAAATCTCAGGGCCACACTTAGAAACCCTGCTGCGAGGCCCCCAGAGAAGCCAAGGGGAGCTGGGATTCCCTGGAGTCCCAGGGAACCGAGGGGAAGGTGGGAAAGGGGCAGAGAGCAAACCCCCCCCAGCTGCTTCTCCCTGCAGCCCCCAGTGCAGGTGCAGCAAACGCACACCGGTGTAGGGTTTTTAGGAGAGCTTTACAATAAATTAAAAAACAATCAGTTTACCGAAAAATCCTTCTGCAGTCCGTGCTGTCTAACAACTCAAATTGCTCACTAAGAGAATTACCTAATTTAGAACAACTCAATCGTAGAACCTCAGTGCAGCTGCCCTGGGATTTCATGCCCCCTGTGTCTCTTGCATCGGGGAAAAGGACTGGGATGCACTGGGAGGAACTGGGGGCAGTGGGGAGGGATGGGGATGGCACTGGGGAGACTGGAGAGGGACTGGGGGCACTGGAGGGATTTGGGCTGGGAATGGGGACACTGGGGTGGGACTGAGATTTTCTGGGGAGGGACTGGGAACACTGGGATGGGACTAGGGGTCATTGGGGAGGGACTGGGGACTATGGGACTGGGGGCACTGGGATAGGACTGAGATGCGCTGGGGAGGGACTGGGCTGGGACTGAGGGCACTGGAGAGGGCCTGGGGGCACTTGGGGGAACTGGGCTGGGACTGGGATTCTCGGGGGAGGGACTGGAGGCACTGGGATAGGACTGAGAGGCACTGGGGAGGCACTAGGACACACTGGGGCACCACTGGGGTAGCACCCCCTCGACGTGGTGGGCCGGGAGTCAGCGGCCGGGAGCAGGGAGGACGCAGAGCAGCAATGCACCTCTGACTGCCTCTCCTCACGCAGCAGTTCTGCTGCTGCGGGGACTTAGACTGCCCCGACTGAGTGCTGGCTGAGATCAGCTCCCTGGCCGAAATCTTTTAAGTGCCTGCCCCCACCCCGTATCCCTCTGCCCGCCCCAGGCCCGCTGCCCACCCTCCTTCTCCCGCGCAGTCTCCGCTGATGTTGAAGCTGATGCTGAAGCTGATCTGTGCCCAGGTTCTGCAAACCAATCTCTGGAACGCCTCTCTGCAATCCCAGCCCTGCAGTGATTTCAGCTCCACATCTTCCCACCACCAAGTGAAGTTGCTCCTTGATCAGAGCAGGATGTTTACTTCAGGTCCAGCTCTAGACACTATATTCCAGCTTCAGCCCCAGAGTAGCTATCCCAGCGTATGGGGATAGGGTTGGAGGTGGAATCACTGAGGGGCTGGCATAGTGGTTCTCCAGGTGTAGTGGTGAGGAGTCAGCACTTGGGACTCACTATGTCCGCTTTTCTTGGCAGCAGCCATTGGAGAAGACAGAAGAGGCATCGTGTAGGACAGCGAGGCCAGACTGAGTGAGCAGAGGAGTGGCCTCGGGCTGGAGAGGGGCAAGAGAAAGGCAATGTGGGCAAAGGGACCTCCCTGTTGTCACCAGGTAACCTGCAGGGTTGTAATATACTTAAGATAGATTTGCTGCGCATCTATATGAATAGGCTGCAAGCACAGGGGAAAAGTCTCACCTTAGAATGGTGACATGAAATCTCCTTCTATTAACCATCACACATTTCTTAGTACATAAAATCTACTTAATGAAAACCAAAACATCAAACAGCGGATTGATCAAGTTGTGCCCTGGCTGGAGCAGATGCCTGACTTCACTCTGCAAACGGAAGGTGCCTCTGGGGACCAGTGAGTACTCTGGATGCTAATGCTGTCAGAGCTCAAAATCTAAGCTCTTAACAGAGAGATCTGAACAAGTTGCAGGAAAAGAAACTGCTTTCTAGTTCCTTCAGCTTCAGGAAGCCACAGTGGCAGATGGCCAAATGTGCAGTCAGTTGGCTGCAAGACCTTTAACTCACCGGACCAACAGTTACCGCGGAAAGAAAAATAAAAATCTATCAGAGGAAGTTGTTCACAGATAAAAGTCTTCATGCATGGTTCCGTGCAAGTTTCTTTATGCCATTCCTTCAGTTTTAACTCCATTACAAGTGATTCCAAACCTTTTGTGTCTGAAGGTCTCATTCCTTTGGGTTGCTTCTCCTCTGGCATTTCATCCGCATGTCCTGCACAAAGTTTCTGAAGGCTGGTTCTTCATGGCTCTCCTCAGTCACTGGGGGAAGAAACGACAGTTCAGCGCTATTTCAGTACTTGTTCTACTTGTGTTACTGAAAAAAAGCTAGAATCAGGATAGCCAAAGCAACATAGAAAGTCTATTTGATCTTCAACTACATTACAGGGCAAAGGAAATAAGTGATCCTACCCATCAGTGGAACAGGGAAAGAATGAAGATTAAGTCTGTGAGCTATATAAGAGAAAAATCAGGCAAGATCCTGGGAGGGGACCCAAGTAGGCCAGCTGACCCAAACTGACCAAAGGGATATTCCAGACCATATGACGTCAGCTCAGATATAAAAGCTGAGACAAAGAGCAGGAAGGGGGGCATTCATTGTCTCCAATGGCTGCTTGCTGAGGAACCATCATATGTACTGAAGCTCTGCTTCTCGGGAGTGGCCGACCATCACTGCTCATGGGAAGTAGAGAATGAACTCTGCTATCTTTTGCTTCTGCAGACGCAAGCTTCGCTTTACTTTTTTGCTTTAAATAAACTGCCTTAACCCAGCCCATGAGTTGGGGTTTTTTTTACACCTTACTCTCTCACCTGTCCCGCTGGAAAGGGGAGTGATAGAGCAGCTGGGTGGGCACCTGGCATCCAGGCAAGGTCAACTCACCACAGGGTCCCAGCGGGGAGGAGGGGTCACAGCGAGGACTGCGTCTCGAGGAGGACACGGAGGGGTCCCAGAGGGTGTCGGGGGTCGTCGGCTCGGGGCCGTTCCCCCTATCGGAGGGCTCAGGCTGCTCTGAGAGGTGTAGGCCGCGCGGTTGCCATGGCAACCACCATCACCCAAGATGGCGACGGGGAGCCTGGCCTCGCTCTTCCTTTATACTCATGCGCATTGCACCCGTCGCTTCCGCCCGGCGTTTGTGGCTCTCGGAAGAGGCGGCGGGGGCGGAGTTTCCAGTTCCGGGTGAGGACGGGGGGGGCGGCGGGAGCGCGGAGGGGCCGCGGAAGGTACGGACCGACACCCCCCGAAAAACCCCCCGGAGAGACCCACACACACCCCCCGAGACACCCCCGGGGCCGACTCGCGCCCCCCGCCCCCCGCCCGGGGAGGGGGGCAGGGAGGGGAGGTACAATGGGGGGGGCGCTCGAGACCACCCTGGTGGGACCCTAACCCACCCCCGGTGTGACCCCCCCCGATGATTCACCGTCTCGGTGCGACCCCCGTGCCTGGGACCCCCCCCGTGCGAACCCCCAAACCCCGGGCCCTCTCCCTTCTCCGGACCCCCCCCCGTCACTGTGACTCCCCCGCCGGGACCCCCCCGAGACCTGACCTTCCCCCACCGCTCTCACCTCCCTGTCTAGGGCCCCCCCAAACTCCCCTCAGGGTCACCCACCCCCCAGGATCCCCCTTCCTCCCCCCACCGTGTCACCCTGCCCTGGACCCCACCCCCAGGTTCCCCCCACACATTTGGGCCCCCTCAAACCCTGCCAGACTCCACCAGTTTAGGGTTGGTGACCCCCGCCACCCCATATCACCCCCTCCAGTCCTCCCCAGATCCAACACCCCAAAGCCACCCCCACCCCCCTCAAATCACCCCCAGAGTCCCCCCAACCCCTCCCGGTTTGGGTGGGTGACCCCCCCACTTTTGGGGACCCCCCTTTACCCTCTTTTCCCCCCAGGACCCCCCGACAACTCCGTCCCTGCGGATCCAACACCTCCCGCTTTGGGGGGTCCCGGCTTTGGGGGGGGGCCTGGACGAGTGTCCCCCCCCTTTCCTGAGCCCGTGGCCCCCCAGGAAGAGGAGGAGGAGGAGGAAGGAATGGCGGCGCCGTGGCGGGTACTGGAGCCCGCCCAAAAATCCATAAAAATTTACTGATCCCACCTTTTCTGCCCCCAAAAGGAGCTTTGCCTGGGCGACAGTCAGGCCAAAGGCTCCCACACCATGGCTCAGGTAATGAGCCCCCACCCACCATCCCCAAAATCCCCCAAAGGCCCCCAAATCCCAAGGCCTGGCAGCTTTTTGGGGGAAAAATGGCCCCAAAATGTGGGAAAAAGGGGGAAAATGGGGCTGGAGCTGGAACCCCCCTTCCCACTTTCCCCTGGTTTTATTCCAAATTTTCTTCAAGCTTATTCCAAAGTTTCTCAGTTTTTCTGGAATTATGCCCAAATTTCCCATTAACCTTTGGTCCTGTCAGGCCCCAAATAAGGGGGTTCAGCCCCCTCATCCCTACTTTTGGAGTCTTCCCACTTTTCCCTGGGATTATCCTAAATTTTCCCTAAAATTATCCCAATTTCTGTGGGATTACCCCCAAATTTCCCATTAATCCTTTGTCTTGCCAGGCCCCAAAAAAGGGAGTTCACCTCCCCCTCCCGACTCAGAATCACCCTGGGATTATCCCAAGTTTCCTTGGGATTTTCCCACATTCCCTCCCAGGGTCTCCTTGTTTTTTGGGGGGTCTCTGTTGATGGTGGGGGTCCCTGTCCCCCCAGGCGAGTCTTGTAGGGTTTTTTGGGGGGGCTTTTGGGGGGTTTGGTTCATGATGGGGGGGGTCCCAGGCAAGTCTCCTAGGGGGTTTTGGGGTCTGTGCTGATAGGAGGGAGTTTGGGGGGAGTAAGGGGGTCTGTGCTGGTGTTGGGGGTCCCTGTCCTCCCCCAGCAAGTCTCTTGGGGGTTTTGGGGTCTCTGTTGATGGTGGGGGTCTCTGTGCCCCCCAGGCGAGTCTCCTGGCCTGTGAGGGGCTCTCGGGGGTCTGCCTGGTCCCCACAGTCGCCAGTAAGAAGATGATGCCCAAGGCTGGAAAACAGGACGGGAACCGGGAAAGAGGCTCCAGCCCTGACCTGCTGGTATGGGATGGGAGGGAACCCCCTGGACTGGGGGGGTCTGGCTCTAATGGGGGGGTTATACCTTCAGTTGGAGGGGTTCTGGCTTTAATTTGAGTTTTTTTCTGCTTTAATTTGCTTTCTCCTGATTTAATTTGTCTTTTTACACCTTTGATTTGTGTTTTTCTGCCTTTAATTTGGCTCTTTTAACCTTTAATTTGGGGGTTTCCTCTTTTACAACTTAAAACTTAAGAAAAATGCAGGGGTTTCCACATTTAATCTGGGACTTTCTGTCTTTAATTTCAGATTTTCCACCTTTAATTCAGGTTTTTCTACCTTTAATTTTGGGGTTTGCTGGTTTAATTTAGCTTTTCCCTGCTTTTATTTGAGTTTTTTCTTCTTTAATTGGATCTTTTCCTTCTTTAATTCAATTTCATTTCCATTCAGTTGGACTTTTCCTCTTTCGTTGGGGTTTTTTGTCCTTTAATTGGAATTTTCTATCTCTGATTTGCCTTTTCCTGCCCTAATTCTGTTATTTCCATTTGATTCCCTCCCCCTAATTCCATTATCCTCCCTCCCCCATTCCCTGCCCCCTTTACCCCCGAATTCCCTTCCCAATCTTATCCCCCAATTTCTAACTCCCCAATCCCGATTCCTGCCCCCAAAACCCCCTCCCCAATTCCCGCCCCCCCTTACCTCACATCTTCCTCCCCAATTCCTGCCCCCTCAAATCCTCCCCATTCCCTGCCCCCCCCAAATCCCCCCTCCCCAATTTCTGCCCCCCCTTTTACCCCCCAATCCCCCCTCTCTGATTTTTCCCCCAATTCCTGCCCCCAAATCCCCCCTTTAACTCCCCTTCCCAATTCTCAACCCCTCAATGACCCCCCAAATCCCTCCCCATTCCCTGCCCCCTTTTACCCCCAAATCCCCCCCTCCCCAATCCCCTCCATCCCACCCCCAAATCCCCCCAGTCCCTCCGCCAAGACCCCGACAAGCCCCGCGCCCGCAAGGACGACGACACCCCCGAGGCCTCCAACCCCAAGAAATCCATGAAAAAGGCAGGTTCCCCTCCCCAACGGGGGGGTCTCTGTGGCGTGGGGGGGGGTCTCTGTGCCCCCCCCGTGCCCGCTGACCCCCCCTGGCCCCCCCGGCAGCGCCGCAAGCGGGTTCCCAGCGCCGAGGGACCCCCGAGCTCGTCCCGCCGCTCCCAGTCCCAGGTTTGCCGCCGCCCCCCAGGAGGAGGAGGAGGAGGAAGAGAATCTCCCAAACTCCGGCAGGCGCAGGACGGCCGGGGGGGGGATTTGGGTGGGGCTGCTGGGGGCCCCCCCGGCTCTGAGCCCCCCCAATCTCTATCCCCCCATGGTTTGTAGATGGTGGTGATCGAGCAAAACGGGTCCTTCCAGCTCAAGAACTTCATCTGCGACCACTGTTTCGGGGCCTTTCGGAGCAGTTACCACCTCAAACGGCACATCCTCATCCACACCGGTGGGGGCACCAATTAACACACCCTAATAAACCCCTCACAGCCTTAATTAGCCCTCTCCTCCCCCCCATCCCGATTCCCCCCCAGTTAGGTGTTAATTAACCCCCTGGACACCCCCCAGTTTAGGGGAGAAGCCCTTTGAGTGTGACCTGTGCTCCCTCCCTCCCCGATCCCAACCACCCCTTAATCCCACAACTTCCCCCCTCCTCCTCCATTCCCACACCCCCTAATTACCCCCAGGGGTGTTAATTAGCCCCCCAACTCCCCCTCACTTTAGGGGAGAAGCCCTTTGAATGCGACGTGTGCGACATGCGCTTCATCCAGAAGTACCACCTCGAGCGGCACAAGCGGGTGCACAGTGGGGAGAAGCCCTACCAGTGCGAGCGCTGCATGCAGGTAATTCCATGGGAAATCCCACCTGGAATTCCCTTGGAAACCCCCAGAAGCGCCCCCACCCCGAATTCCAACCCTAATCCCCTCCATCCCGCAGAGTTTCTCCCGCACAGACCGGCTCCTGCGGCACAAGCGGATGTGCCAGGGCTGCCAGGGCAAGAACCCCCCTGACTCCCAGCTCCTGCTGTGAAATTCTGGGAATTCTGGGGGTGCTGGAGGAAGGGGGAGCCTCCCTCCTGCACCCCCCACCCTCTGCATCCTCTGCTTCACCCGGATTTTTCACCCTGAGCTGAGAACTCCTAAAAAAACCTGGAGCGTTCCCAGTGTGAAAAACTCGGATCTTTCCCACCCTTCTGGCCTAAAAACTGGGATAATGAGCCCAAAAATCCTCCTGGAATCTTCAAGCTGTGCCCTCCTCATCGTTGGATCCCTAAATCCACCCCACATTCCCCCATAGGACAGACTGGGAGCCCCCAAACTGCCCCAAATCCCAGCAGGTTTGGGGTACCTAGGGCACAGGTAGGAGGGTCCCGCTGGGAATGACCTCTCCAAACCTGCTTTTTTGGGGGGAAAAAGGAGGAAAACTGAGGATTTTGGGGGGTGTCTTGGCTTCGGGACGGTGGCAAATTCCCCCTTTTTATGGAAAACATAAAAAGGCAGCACTTCCCATTCCCTCTGGAATTCCTGTGGATTCCAGGGACATTTCCCCTGTTTCCACGTGGTTTGGGGGGGGCTCCCTGTGTCTCCCCCTGCACCTGTGGCGGGGGGCTGCACCCGGGGGGGGGGGGCGAAGGGACCCCCATTTCCCAGAAAACCCCATTCCCAGGGGGAGGAAAATCCTGGAAACCTCCGTTCTCTGGGGTGGGAAAACCATGGATCTGCTGAGGGGGAATGGTTGGAAGATCCAGGATGCCCCAAAAAACTCTGGGGGTCCCCCCTAGTGTTCCCCCCCACATTTTGGGGGTCTCATGCCTCCCCCAATCACAGACTGCTCCAAGGGGGGACAAAGCTGATGAATTTTGGCCCCCCCCTTTTTTTGGTGCCCTGACCCCCCTTTCTGGACCTGCAGGACTTTGGGGACACCCCCCCCCAGTGACGCTTCGAAAAAGGCTTTGGCTCTGCTGAGCCCCCCCCGCTAAATTTGGGGGTCAGGGAGGGTGGTTTGAGGGCTCCAGGGGGTGGGTTGGGGGGATTCTGGGGGGGTTTTGTGGCCCCCCCAAACCCGGGGGGGTGGTCACACACACACACCACCCCTCTGCCCTCCCCAGATTCATTTTTGGGATGTTTTGTTGGGGTTTTGGGGTTTATTACAGTTATTTTGCTATGGGGAGGGGGGGGTCGGGGGTCACCCCCGGGGGGGAGGGGAGGTCACTTTTAAACGGTAGTTTTTTCTAAGGGTTCCCAAATTTTGTGTCCCCCCACCCGTGTCCCCAAAATGTCGTCCTTTCCTTCCCCATCCCCCGTGTGCCCCCCCCTTCCTTTAGGGTTTATTTAAATAAAACTTTGGGGTTTTGCTTTTTTTAACCTAAATTTGGTTTCTTCAGGGGCGAGGGAGTGGTATTTGGGGGGACCCCCAGAACCTATTTGTGCCTCCCCCCCAGACCCCAAAAATGGGGGGGAAATCATTAAACTGGATGGGGGGGTGTCCCCAAACGCCCCCCCAAATACCCCAGGGGTGCCCCCCCCTTATCCCTGGAGAGGGGTCCCCAAGTGACCCCCCCCCTTTATCTCTGGAGGAGTCCCCAAGTTTGGGGAGTTCCCAGTGCCCCCCCCAAATAACCCAGGAGTGCCCCCACTTCCACCCCATTGGTGCCCCCCATCACCTTAGGGGGGGTCCCAAGCCTCCCCTCCTCCTCCTAGACCCCCTCTTGCCCCCCCAGATTCACAACCCCTCCAAAAATTTCCGTCACTTTAATTTGCAAAAATAGAAAAGTCCCGAGACCTCCCCTCAGCACAGAGGGAGTGGGGGAGGGCTGTAAACATGGCTGGGGGGCCCCCCAAAAGCGGGGGATGGCTAGCGGGGGCGGGGCAGCGGCAGGGGGGCCCCCTGAAAATGGCAGGGGCCCAATGTAAACGCAGAGGAATAAATAAAGGGGGGGGTGAAAGTGCTGCCCTGGGGGGAAGGGTCACCACCCCCCCGTAGTGTAACAGACCCCACCCAAGTTGGGGGGGGGACAAATTTAGGGGGGCAGCAGCAAGCCCGGGCCCCCCCACTCAGCCAGACTTGGGGGGGGTAACATATTTGGGGGTGTGTCCCCCCCCAAAGCTGCCCTGGGGGGGTACTGGGGTCACCCTATGGCTTGAGAACCCCCCAAAATAGGGGGGAAGTTGGGGGAGTCATCTTGTGGCCCCCCCATCTTTGGTCTCTGTAGTGTATAGGGAATAGGATGGAGGGAGGAATTTTGGGGTCCCCCCACCCCCAACAACATATAAATGGGGCCCCCCCAAACTGGGGGGGGGGGAATGTCCTGGGGGGGATAATGGGGGTTCCCCCCCCTCCCAGAATCCACCCTGTGTCCAATAAATAAACCCTCAGGGGGGTATTTAGGGGGGGGCAACCCACGAGTGTTAATTTGGGGGGAGGGGGGGCTGCCCCTCTTAAAATTCCTCTCACTACAAGGCAGGGGCAGCAGGGGCTGGGGGGGCTTTGGCTGAAGCTGAGTTTGGAAGGGGGGAGGGGTCCCTGGACCCCCCCCCAGCTTAAGGCAATAGCTTTGCTCTGTCAGTCTCTGACACCCCCCACCCCAGCTCAGGGGGGGGCCCACTTTGGGGGTCTCCCGCCTCCCAGAGCAAAAGGGGGGGACCCTGGAAGGCAGCTATGAGTGCCCCCACCATAGGGGCTCTGGGGAGTTGGGGGGGTTACGGGGATTTGGGGGGGCCGGGGGGGCTGTCCTGGGCCGTGGGAGGGTCTGGGGGTGGGGGGGGCTCCCCCTGGCCCTCCCCCTCAGTGAAGATCTCGGGGTTCTCCAGCATCTCCCGGATCAGGGGGGGCATCGGCCCCGGGATCTCCGTGCGCAGGGTCAGAGCCCGTTCTGCCCCTGGTGGGGAGCAAAGTGTGAGTGACCCCCCCCTCCAATAATTAACATCTGCCCCAGGGGCTTGGAATTTCCCCCGTGAGAGCTTAGACCCTCTCCATCCCAGGAGAGGGAGCCCCCAAAATGAGCTCAAAAGCCCACCAAGAGCTTGAACCCCCCCAAAACTCTGAACCCCCCCCAAGAGTTCCAACTCCCTCCAAAAAGATCTTGGGCCCTCCCCAAACTACCTTCAACCCCCCTAAATTTAAGCCCCTTCAAGCACTTGAACCCCCCAAATTTCAACCCCCTCCTAGAGCTTAAGCACCCCCAAAGACCTTGAATCCCCTTCAAATGAGCTTCAACCCCCCCCCAAGACCTTCAACCTCACCAAAAACTTTGAAACCCCCCCCCCCCAAGAGTTTCAACTCCCCTTCCCCAAAACCTTGAACCCCCCAAAACCTTGGACAACCACCCCACCAAGACCTTAGACCCCCCCCAAAATGAGGCTGGGCGGGGTCCCAGAGAAGGATTTTGGGGTGTTGAGAGGGGGGTGTTTGGGGGATTTTGGGGTCAGAGGGGCTCAGAGGGGGTCCGAGGGGCCTTTGGGGGCTATTCCTGTCTGGGGGGGGTCCCGAGGGTCTCGTCCTTGGTGCTGATGCCAGACAGATCGGTGATTTTTGAGCATTTGCAGAAGTACTGGGGTTGGGGTGGGTTTTCGGGGGGTCCCAGGGGTTTTGGGCTGTTGGGAGGGGCTGTACCCATTTCGAGGGTTCCCGGGGGTCTCACCCTTGGTGCTGATGCCACGCAGGTCGGTGATTTTGAGCAGCATTCGGGGGAATCGCTGCGGTTGCCGAGGCCGCCGCCGCCGTGCGTAGACCCGGAGAGCCTCAAGCAGCGGCTCCTGCAGCCGCTCCACGCGCCGGGGCTGCTCCAGCTCCATCCGGTCTGGGGGGACAGAGACCCCCGGGATGGGACCACCAGGACAGTGTCCCTGTGTCCCCATATTCCCATGTCCCCCCTGCCCCCCCATCCCTGCCCTCTCCTGCCCTGCAGATCCCAGTGTCACCGTGTCCCCACATGCCCACCATTGTCTCTCGTCCTAGGAGACATGTCCCCACAGTCTGGTCCCCGAGCCCCCCATGTGCCCCAATACCCGTGTCCCTGATGTCCCCTCAATGTCCCCACGTTCCCAGTGTTCCCCCACCTCCTCACATTAGGCCAATGGCCCTGAGCAGCCCCCTCTCAGTCCCGTGTCCCTTATACCCCCTTACACCTCTCCTATCCCCAAACCCCTGATACTCCCCAAGCCTCCTGGTGTCTCCCCAATGTCCCCCGTCGTGTCCTCACCTCCACAGATGAGGCTGATGGCCGTGAGCAGCCCCAGCTCAGTGTCACTGAGCTGCTGGGGCAGGAGCTGCCCTGCTGTGACCCCTATATTCCTGATATCCCATGTCCCCCTGGTGTCCCTCATGTCCCTCCACCTCCACAGATGAGGCAGATGGCACTGAGCAGCGCAGTCTTGGTGTCATCGAGCTGCAGGGGCAGGAGCTGCCCCGCTGTGACACCCATATCCCAATACCCTCCGTGCCCCCTGTGCCCCCCTTTTCCCCCCAGTGTCCCTGATGTCCCCCTACCTCCACAGATGAGGCAGATGGCACTAAGCAGCCCCGTCTCAGTGTCGTCGAGCTGCAGGGGCAGGAGCTGCCCCGCAAAGGCGAACACAAGGTCAGTGAGGGGCCCGAACCCTGCATTGTGCATCTGGGTCCTGGTCAGGGTGAGCCCGTCCGAGAACGTCATCGTGTCCTGCTCGGGGGTGTACCGGGTACAGATCCGCAGCATCTGGGGGTCAGGGTACCCCAAAATCACCCAGGGATCCCAAACACACCACCCCCCCCAGGGTCAGCCCATCCCAGAACGTCCTCATGTCCTGCTCAGGCTGTAACGGGCAGATCTGCAGCATCTGGGGGTCATGGGGGTCAGGGAACCCCAAAATCACACAGCGGTCACCGAAATCCCCCCACTCAGGGATCCCAAATATCCACCCAGGGACATCGAAACCCCTCAAGAGACCCCAAAATTTCCATAGGGGACCCCCAAACCCACCCAGCCCCTCTCCAGGACATCCATCTGTGGGTGGTGAGGTCAGAGCCACCATGGGACTCCCCAAGCCCCCCTGAGGTCCTCCCAAACCCCCTGAGGAACCTCCAAACACCCTCCAAGACCCCCCCAAACACCCTCCAGGACCCCACATCCCCTGATGCCCACCAGGATGTCGAGGCAGGCAGCCTTGAGCAGGGTGATCTGGTCGGCCATGCTGAGCCCTGTGAACCCCGGGAGCCGCTTCGCGAACTCCACGATCTTGATGATGCACTTGGTGGCCAGTTCACTGAACTTGTCCCACAGCCCCAGGTCCAGCTGCACACGGTGGTCTGCACTCGAGTTCTGGGGGACATAGGGGGCCAGGGACTCAGTTATGGGGGTTTAGGGTGGTTTGGGACCTGCTGAGACCCCCTGGAACCACTCAAACCCAACCTCAGCTCCCTGAACTTGTCCCCCAGCCCCTTGCCCAGCTGCACACAGTGGTCTGTGCTCAAGTTCTGGGAGGCACAGACCCAGTCAGGGTGGTTCAGGGTGGACTGGATCCTCCTCAGACCTCTAGGACCCCCTTGGATCACTGGGACCCCCCAGAGCCTCCTGGGGACCCCTCCCCAGCACCTCTCTGCCTTTGACTCCAGCTGCCCCCAGTGCTCAGATCTGGTGTTTTGGGGGTCCAGGGGGTCCAGGAACCCCTCTAAGGGTCTGAGGATTGGGGTGCCCCCCAGGGACCCCCAATCCCCCCCCCCCCCACGACTGCCTAGGAACTCCTGGGACCCCTCCCCAGCACCACCCTGCCCCTGAACTTGCTCCCCAGCTGCCCCCCCCCGAGCTCAGATCTTTTGTTTTGGGGGTTCAGGGTCACTCAGTGACCCCTCTATGGATCCAAGGCTTGGGGTACCCCCGTAGTACCCACCCAGGGACCCCCCAGAACCCCCAGCCCCACTCACCGTGGTGTACTTGCCCAGCTGGCACAGGGAGGGGAAGGTCTCCTGGTGGGCTCTGCTCACCCTCTGCACCAGCTCGGCCAACTCAGGGCTCAGCTCGTCTCCCCCAAAATCCTCCTTCACCTCCTTCCTCCGCTTGTTCCGGTCGTGCCTCACGGCTGAGGGTGGCAGGGAATTTGGGGGGGGTGGGCAGGGGGGTTCAGGGGTGACCCCCCAGAGCCCTCACAGACCCCAAAATCCCCCCCTGGCACAGGACCATCCCCCCCTGAGCTTCCCCAGCCCCACTGTGACAACCCTGGGACCCCTCAGTGCCACTTTGGGGGGGAGTTGTCCCAATTTTCTGGGGAGTCCCGGAGCTCCCTCGCACCTTCCTTGGACATCCCGACCCGGAGGCACTTCTGGAGGCGGCAGAACTGGCAGCGGTTCCGTGTCACTTTGTCGATGGGGCAGTTCCGCTCCCGGGGACACGTGTACACCATGTTCTTCTGGATGCTGCGCCGGAAAAACCCCTAGAATTGGGGGGAATGGGGTTCAAGGGGGCTGGGGGGACCCCCAAAATGGGGACAGCAGGAACAGGGCACTGGGGGTCCCAGTAAGGCTGCCCAGGGTTAACCGGGGGCTCCCCAGTGGCTCCACAGGGGTCGTTGGAGTGACTGGGGTCACTTACTATTGGGGAGGGTCCCAGGGCTTTGGGGGGGTCCCCAGCACCTCAGGGGGAAGGGGGGGCAAAAACGGGGTGAAGGGGGGCTAGGAGTACCCCCAGACTGGGGGCACCAGGAACAGATCACCAGGGACCCCAGTAAAGCTGCCCAGGGTCAACTGGGGGGGTTCCAGTGCTTGGGGAGGATCTTCATTCCCTGGTGGGGGGAGTCCCCAGAGTCCCCACTCCCCACACAGGGTCCCCACTGCCCCCCACGGGGTACCCATTGCTACCCGCAGGTTCCCACGGCCCCAGGAGAGTCCCCACTGTCCCCAGGCCCCCCCAGCCCCGTGCCCCTCCCGTCCCTCCCATCCCCCCGTGCCCACCTTGCAGCCCTCGCACGAGCTGACCCCGTAGTGATACCCCGAGCTCTTGTCGCTGCACACGAAGCAGGGTTTGTACACGCGGGGGGGAGGTGGCGGTGAGGGGGGGCCCGTGTCCCCCAAAACCCGCCCGGGGGGGGCCTCCAGGGCTGGGGGGGGCACAAAAAGAGGAGGGGAGGGGGTCAGGCAGATCCTCTGAACCGCTCCCAAAAAGGAGGGGTAAAAGGGAGGGGGCAGGATCCTCCTACGTTGGGGGGGTCGCCATGTTAACCCCCCCTTCATCTCGGGCTCCCCCCAAAAACAGGGTCCAGGACCCCCGACCACCCCAAACCAGGTCCAACTCCCCCCAAGGGGTCCCAAATGGTCCCTCAGTGGGGTCTCCACATCCCTGTGCCTCCCTCCAAAAAAACCAGGTCCCTCTTTCTGCACCCCCAAACATGTCCAGGACGCTGCGACCCCCCCCAAAAACAGGGTTCAAAAAAAAAGTCCCCCAATAAAAGGGGACCCTTCATACAGCCCCCCCAGCTCCAAAATCTGAGATTCAAACCCCAAAACTCGGTGTGGGGGAGTCCCAGCCCCCAAACCCCAAAACTCTTTAGTTAGAGGGGTCCCAGTCCCCCCCAAATTCGGAGATGGGAGGTCCCAAGCCCCCCCAAATGCCAAAATTCGGTTGGGGGGGTCTCAGCCCCCCAAAACCCCAAATTCATAGCAGGGGGGTCCTGAGCCCCCCAAACCCTCAAAATTTGTAATGGGAGTGTCCGAGACCCCCAATGTCCCTGGGGGTGCCACAACGGGGGAAGGGGAGGGCATCATCAGTGTCACCCCCCAATGCCCACCTATGTCACCCCCCTCCCTATCCCACTCCGGAACCCCAAAACTGGGGGTGAGGGGTCCCCAGCCCCTTCCACCCCCCAAAATTTGGAGACGGGGAGTCCCGAGCCTACATAAACGCCAAAATTAAGGGCGGGGGAGGTTCCCAACTCCCCACAACCCCAAAATTCGGGGTGGAGGTGTCCCAAACTCCCCCTCGCTGTGCCGGGGGGGGTGTGACACGGCGGGGGAGGGGAAGAGCCCCCCCGCACGCGGCCGGGCGGTGCTGGGGGAGGGGCAGGCGGGTATTTTTTGGGTGGGTTTTGTGTGGTTTTTTCCAGAAAACCCAAAATTGCTGAAATTAAAGAAATTCCGGCCCCGACTGGCGCGTTTTTAACCCCGGGGGGGGGGGGTCTGAGGGAGGGGTGGGGCCCGCCTTGGGCACGCACATGCCACAGGCACCCCAAAATAAACTCCCCTTGACCCCCCTCCCCTAAAAATGGGGCCGAAATGGGGGCCACACCCTCCCGCCCCCGCACTCCTCCCTCCACGGGGACCCCCCACGTTTAGGGGGGGCCGGTTGTGCCCCCTCCGAATACTAGAGGGTCCCACGGAGGGTTTGGGGGGGCATATTTGGGGGACACTCCCGTGTCTCGCTGGATTTAGGGGGGGAAAACCAAAATTTAACCCCCCAACCCCACAAAACAGCCCCCCAAAGTGGCTACACCCCTCGGGGCGGGGGGGGGGCACAACGCTGTGGGACCCCCATATATCTCCCCCCAACTTTGGGGGGACCTCCAACGCCAAGGCGAGGGCTTAAATTTGGACGGGGGGGCACGGGGAGGTTCCCCCTTCCTGGGGTGGAATTTGGAGGGCCAGGGGGGTTCCTCCCTAAAAATCGGGGGGTGACGCCCCCTCCCGCCCTGCTGAGAAGGGGGGGCCTCTCCGCGACCCCCAAGGGGGGTCGGGGCGGTTTTGGGGCGGCCCCGCAGGGGTTAAAGTGCCACATTGGCAGCGCGGGGGGGACGCGGGGGGGCGGGTGCGGCCCCGACTGGAACCAGTTGGGCAGGGGAACTGGGCGTGGGGGGGACACGGGATGGAAAACCGCGCCACGGGCACAGGGGGAGCTTTAGGGGGGTTTTAGGGAGGGTTTGAGGGAAGTTTGGTGGGGTTTGGGGGTCCCGCCCCCCCCAACCTGTTTGTGCCCAAATTTACACGAGGGGGATTCCCGAGTGCGCCCCAGGACCCCCCGCGTGGGCCCCTCCCCTCAAAACCAAGTCCCTCTTATTGCCACCCCAAAGGGGTCCAGGACCCCTCCCAAAAACAGGGTTTAGGGCCCCCCGACCTCCCCAAATCGAGTCAACCCCCCCCCACCAGCAGTTCCAAATGGCCCCTTAGTGAGGTTCACGTCTCTGTGCTCCCCCCAAAAACCCGGGTCCCTATTTCCGCCCTCCCAAAGGGGTCCGGGACCCCGCGACCCCCCAAAAAACAGGGTTTAGGGCCTCCTGAGCCCCCCAAAAACAGTGTCCAGGTCCTCCAACCTTCCAAATCGAGTCCAAACCTCCACAGAAGGGATCCCGAGTGGGTTCTCCCCGTCCCTATGCACCCCCCCTCGAACGGGACATCCTCAAAATTGGGTCTGGGACCCCGCCCCCCCCGAAGGGGGTCCCCCAAAACCGCCCCCCCCTCACTCCCTGGCTCCCTCGGCGGGGGAGGGGGGGGAATTGGAGGTCCCACACCCCATTCACTCCCCCCGCGCTCACATGCCCCCACTCGCCCCCCCTCCCCATTTTCCACACCTCTCACGTCACTCCCGCACATACCCGGGTCGGTCCCGCACCCACGGGCGTCACTCACCAGGCTCCCCCCGAACCCACGCGGGGTGTCCCCCGACCCCCTCGGGTCGCCTGAGCCCCCCCTTGCACGCGCATTTGCACACTCGGACACAGCCCTTTCCACACCCCCGCACCCACTCGGGGACACGGACACACACCCCCCCACGCACCCGCCGACCCCCCCCCTCACTCCCCACACACTCGCACTCGCTCTCACACTCGTTTGCACACTCAGGATCACACTAAGAGACTCCCACGCACGGACCACGGACCCACCGACCGCCCCACGCACCCCCTGACCCCCCCCACGGACCCACCGACTCCTCCCGCTCCTCGCACACTCCCAGTCGCTCTCACACTCATTTGCACACTCAGAGACTCTTTTTTACTCCCCCACACCCACTCGCGGACCACGAACCCACCGACCCCCCCCGCACACACCGACCCCCCGCTCCCCGTCGCTCTCACACTCATTCGCACACTCAAACTCAAGCTCACAGACGCCTCCCCGCCCTCCCTCGCCCCCCACACCCACTCGCGCATCTGCCCCCCCCCTCCCTCGCCCAGGGCCCTTCCCGCGCCGCATTCCTCCCTCAACCTCCTCACGCTCGTGTCCCCCCCGTGCCCCCCCGGTACCTCTGCGGGCGGGGGTCCCGCAGCCCGCGGGCACCAGGACCCTGCGGAGGGCGCAGCCCCCCCGGTTGGTCACGTCGTGGAGCCGCCGCGGTGCCGCCGCCGCC